GAGATTGCTGGCTTAGATCCAATTAAGTTACACTAGCATAGCTACTGTTTGTCATTATTCTGTGGCTACGACAAGAAGTTGACACAGTTTACTTCGTTAGCTTGGATWAAAGTAAAAGGGCTCAAGGCAAGCTAATGGTGGCATGGGATGYTTTCAAATGAATCGCTGCATCTCCAGGATTCAAARCATTTATACAATCCCAGTGCGGAGACCAACTCGAGGATTCTCAGCCGGTATTGTTCCTCCCCTTTCCAAATAATCGTTTGAAATCCTATGCAACTCGTCACACATTCGATCGATAAAGTGATCCGTTCCCATCGTTGCGTTCACAACAATCTCGTCCAGGTCGTCATTGGAAATAGACACAGGAGTGTACAGAAATCCAGAGTTAGACGTGCAACAAGTCAAGCACTTGTTGATCATGTTGGCACATCCGCCTTCTTCTCCTGTCTTTACGAGATGGATCATCCTACCCGGAGGATACAACCTCAAMCTTCGGCTGTTTGTTTYACCTCGAACCTCCTTTCGTTCCGCTTGAACTCTCAGAAAGTCAAGCAATTGACGTTGATATATGGTATCGGGAGGCACATCGTACAACGTTTCKTTAATGATCTGAGTCAGTTTTTCCAAATCATCGTTGTAGTAGGCGCTTTGGGCATCGTCGTTGCTTTCGATGTTGCCACGCAAGCATCCCTTCCGCCTGTCGCCACCCTTCAAAAAGTTTTGAAAGACTTTGTACTTGGGAACTTTGATGCGACCAATCAATTCTAGGACTTCGTCTCTTAGATCTTCCAACGCCAAGACAGAGAGGCGGGGCACAATATCGCTGTCTAGAACGAACGAGGTCGACCACTCAGCGCATTTTGTTGCAAGGTCCCACGTCATCGTGCAACCAGGAGGAGAAAATCCAAACACCCTCAGGGATSGGTACTTCGACCGCAGGACRTAGCCCAGAAGGGTACAGACCCCGGCTCCGAGCGAATGGCCGACGATGCGCAGACTGTAACCTTGGTACTGTTGCTCTAGCAACCGCTCTAGCCACCCGTGTCGCTCCAAATCCCGCAGKACGTTTTCGAAACAGGCGAGCACACCWGCATGGCAATACTGGCCACGCCCATCAAAACCGTAACGTTCTCCAAGTTCCTCTAGAGACTCGGGCAAAACCAGCGTATCGGTAACGACATCTTCCAAACTCAGACTCCCGCGAATTGAAACGACTACCAAAGATCGTTCGTGGTCCAGCAAGATACAGTACGGTACCGAGGAAAGCCGATTATTGAATTGGGCATACACCAGGTCCGCTTCGGGTATCCCCGCCACAAGAAGCAATGCACGCTTGTGCCATTCGCAGAGGTTGTCTCCGGACGTTCGCAGATCCCCGTAGTCTCGAGCTTCGTTTGCGTAGTGTTCGCCACGTTCGCTATCGCTGGACACGCCGGAACCCCGCCGGGATCGCACCCGCGATCGAGATGAATTCGAGGAAGAGGAGGACGACAAGTCGCTTGATGAGGAAGACGACGGGAATGATGATTGCTGCTGCTGGSTGTTTGTGTTTGTATCGTACGAGCCGCCTTGTGGCGGAGCCCCCGCACTTCGTTGCTGGTTCAGCGGCATGGAAACCGAGTTYGGGAACGACGACCGGTGGTTTTGGCCGCGTCCAAGGACACTGCACATCCTGCAGGAGCAAGATCCGCAACGATCCGCGGCCCATTTGCCCAGCGATGCCACCGATCCGCTTCCGCATCGGCAGACCAAGCGGGGAAATCCGGTTACGGGGTGGACGAAAACGTAGAGCATCCAGGTRTAGATGGAGAGTGCRTACGTGCACATGCGTGCTCCTTCCTCTAGCGTTGCCGYATCGACRGGGTCGTCGGGATCCAGGATCTGCCTCATTGTGGCGCGGTAAAACGAGGCACCGTTCCCGTTATGGAGTGTATCAGGACTGGCACCGAMAGGGAAGACAGAATCGGTCCCGTTGATGRGGGAMGGGCCGGAGGGATTCCGCCTCCGATAGATGTTTTTTTGGCGTTCATGTTGCTGCTGCTGTGGTTGTTGATATTGCTGCTGGGTTGACGATTGAACCGTTGGACATGGCAACGGCGTGGCCGCTGGGTGATTCCCCGGTACACTCGCTGTTCCTCGAACATCTAAACCCTGCTGCACTGGGGGAGGACCCGAGGGCGGGCTGGGAGACCGGCGGTTCAGTAGGTCTCTCCTGGAATCGTTGTTGCTCACGCCCCTCGACCGCAGACCCYTCCTGTTSCGAATTTCGGGGGAATGGGTTGTGAGGTGGTAGTCACTCCGCGAATCCCGCGGGTGACCACCGGAAGGTTCTGTTGTTCTCGCCACAGTCGTCGTGATGGTTTCCGGTACCGCTCCCTTTGTYAATCCACMGGAATTCCCGTCCGTCGAMACCGAAGGTGCTCCCCACYTTGCCAGAGAMCCCGGTGGCTGGTTCTCGTGACAGCGCACGCTTTGGATCGCTAGCAACCGTCTATGCCTCTGAACCCTCTGGAGGACCAGGAGGCCCGTAAACAGGTCGGTCGGGACCACGTCCAGTGTGCCCTTCGTTTCGAGGTAATCCGCGAGGGCCTGCGCCACGTGCCGGTAGGCATGCTGGGAKTTTYCGAGGAGGTCGTGCCCGCCGAACAAGAAACACGTCGATATGGACAGGCAGCGGAAGAGGGACTGGCACCGATCGGCCCACAATTCCTCGACCAATTCGTGGTGCACGATTTGGTGGTTGTCTGYGCCGTTGTTGCTGCCGTCGTTTTGGAAGGAAGACGACCTGAAAAGGCCGTCACTGGCCACGGGAGAGGCCGGGCTCGCCTTGGTTATCAGCCTCGAGTAATAGAGGGCCGCGACCACTACTTCGGCCATCTGAGAGACTGCCAACAAGGCACCGATGGCGTACCACGATRCCGATCCCACCCAGTCGCCGCKTTGTTTCGTCCCGGAAAAAACCTCGCCGGTGSCATCCTCCTGCCACATTCCGTCGTAGAAGTCGTCGTAGAAGTCATCGTATTGGGCGAGGTACCGAAAGGCAGCGTTTCCRCCGTCGTCCGTGGCCCCATCGTAGCCAGCGGTGTGGTTGAAGAGCGAGATCGTCCGAAAGTAGCAGCGGTGGTAGGACCGGGCAAAACAGGCCGAGGCAACGCCGTACGTCCCCGCCACGACAAKGCCCAGGAGGACCGTGCAGGTCCCCAGCTTGAACTCAAGGAATTCCTGTACCTTTTTCGTTCGGGGCTGTCGCATCGTCGGGGTCCCCTGGCCAGACCAGTACCAGATCCGGTACTCGAGGGACACCGAGTKGACGCAAAAGACCGCCGTGGAGACCAGGTGCAAGACAGACATCAGCGGGTAATACCTGGCAAAGAAGGACTCGGTGCACGGAGCTGTAMCGGTATCCCAGCCCTCGTCGCCGGCTGCCCGGGAGGCATTCACTTCTCCCCACCAATCGAACAAGTACTTCCAGAGCGGCCACCTTCCGTCACCGGCACCGGCACCGCCACCCCCGCCGTCGCCATCGCTGACGGTTGATGTAAAAACGGCCTGTTTCCAGACGTAAATTCCCAGCGGCAAGACGAACCACGACAGCTGGACGAATCGCACCAGCACCGTTGCCAGTGCCGGAACGTGGAGATCGTCGCCCCCCAACAGGGTCCGTTTTCCAAATAAATGGATTGCGGGCATTGGGTTCTCTTTTGTTGTGTTGTTGTTGTGTTGTTCTGTTCTGCAACGTGTTGTGCCGTGTGTGCACAGCGGTATTCAGCTCACGACTTGGATTCTGCCTTTTCCGTGTGGTTGGGATGCCGGGTTAGCATCGAGTTATTCCCCACGTGCTGGTCTCGGAGTCTTGGGCGCTGAAGAGTTGTGAGTTCGAAAAGTACTGTACCGTACTTGGTACGAGTTGCCGCATAATTCATAATACAGTATTTAATAATTTAAAATTAAGAGGTGCGAGAAACGCAGCGTAACACGTTCTCCAATTTTTCTGAAGGCGGGAATCAGAAAATCAGAAAATTTGGACTTTTAACCCATTTCCTTGTCTTACAAATGACAGAAACTCATTTCCTTGCATATTTCCGTTTTTAGTAAATTGGAAACTCATTTCCTTGCATTCCACCATTTTCTAAACTCATTTCCTTGCATTCTCTAAATACTCAAAATTCTGCCATTAAACAACAGGAAAAACCAATGCTACCACAATGTACCACCACTGAACAGTCATAAATTGAAAAAAGCAGCAACAATCAAAAGACCAAGAACCATAATTTTCAAATCGAAATTTTTCAAACGCAGCCGTGTTTCATCTTCGCACAAAGATACGATTCTCACTTGAAAATTATACTTAGAATTAGTACTAGATTCTACACAAGCCAACTAAGACTTGCACCATCGAACTACCAGGAACCATGACCGGGCCCAACCCAAAGGGTAACAGGGACCCTCCGGATCCAACCAGTAAGGACCCTCCCCCACCAAATGAACTTGCCTAGCCTTCCCCCAGCCTTCTAAAGGCCAAGGCACCTCCTCCAAGCTCCAAGATCTCTGCTTTAGAGGAAGTGATCCCTCGGAATCGGACTACGATTCTGAAGAAGACCCCCACTGTACTTCAAACAGTTGCTGCTCGGCTCCAGAAGAGGCTTTCTAGAACCCAACAACCTACATCTATCACCATTGCATGTCCCTCCACTCACTCTCATTCATATTCATATTCAACCACCGAAAACAAAGAAAAAGAAAACAAAAATACCCCCGACACGACGCCAATGCCCCATACCACATCCCTACTCCAGGCTCATCTGGATCAGTCTCTCTCCTGTTATTCAGGGGATGAATCAGAGTCTCCAACTAAGGACGGATCGATGTCCCTGGATGGGAATGAATTGATGCCTTTGGAAGAGGATGAATCGATGCCTCCAGATGCATCGATGCCCCCTGAAGAGGATGCATTGATGCCCCCTGAAGAGGATGCATTGATGCCTTTGGAAGAGGATGCATCGATGCCACCAGTCTCCACTGAGACTCCATCTTCCACCTTAGATACAGAATGAACCCTCAGCACCACTCACCAGACCCAGTCCCAGGGGTCCCACGGCTCCTTTCTCCCTTCCGACAGCGAGGATAGCCAGGAAAGCATGAAACAGAAGAAAAAGAAAAAGAAATTCACCACCGAGGACACTTTAGATACTTACATGCAACTGGCACCGGTTCCAGCTACCAAGATGAGCGCCTTAAGTGATCCCTTAGTCAGTGATAAATCCAAAGTGAAAGCATTAAGTGAAGCTCTAGTCCCTTTTGATAA